ATCACTATAACTTTATCAAGTCAGCTGCCCCCTCGATGTTGCCTGTTGTTCTTAATTACTGCTATTGTAAGACATGTTTTGTACAGTAATATTCATGAATAAAATGAAATGAAAACAGGTGTTTTAAAAGATACTTTCACAGCTCTACATGAAACTAAAATCAACCAGACCTCTGCGAGGTCCAAGGTTTCTATGCTTGCATTCGTAAAATATTGCACTACTGTATTTGCGGTGATGTAAACATGGCAACAAACGAAACCAGGGAGACCTCAAGTGTTAATCTGGCAGTTTCATTTTTATTGTTAAGCCTTTAGCATAATGCGCTATTTAAGCCAAAATTATTATTATTATTATTATTATTATTATTTTACTATTAATCCTGGCATCAGGTTTTTTTTGTTCTGCTTGTTTAGTGCCAATGATAAAAAGGTGTAGTAGCTGTGGGGGCTGTAGGGTATATTTTCCGGGGGCCAAGCTGTCCGACAGGGGGACTAGTGCTCGAGGGCCGGAGCTTGTGGAAGAATTTATGAAGGTTTTCCTCTCCCAAATGAGATTTTTTAAGAATAGGAACCTCTGGATGGCCAGAAATGACACTCAGACTGTGACAGACACATGTGTTGGCTTGGCATGGGCCTACTGTATTCTTATATTTTTATTTAGTCCAACTGTCCAACGAGCTCTGTTTGATGGAGGGTGGTTGGCTTGACCTGTCCGGGGGAGGGGGAACCCCCTACGTTATGGATCGGAGCCAACAATGGTTTACTATACCGTACTGTACACACAAAGTCTAGCTTCCGATAGAAGCTGCAAAAGGATTATCCTGTCAAGTATCAAGTTTGTTTTTATCAAACCACAACATAATTCTATGCTGTATCTGTAGAACCTTAACCAAACCACAGTATCAGGTATAAAATTGAAGCTTTTTTGACCATACTATCCAGTAAAGTCCCTAGAGCCAATCCATCACATTTACGACAGTTAGTTGAACAATGAAATAAACGACAATCCATAAATGTTTTCCTATCATATAGTAGTCTTTTCAAGGGTAGGGGGTATTGTCTTTCATTAGTTATGGCTTTAATTTTGTCAAAATAGAAAATTATTAAATAGGGCACGATTTCATATCCAGTTTTGATTGGGTACTGACATTCATAATGAAAAGATATCTGGAAACTCATTTTTGCCAGTTTAAAAAAAACAGCATAAACATACATGTCACATACATACATACATACATATACACATGATGGGTATCCTAAAGGTTTCTTTGCTTGAAAGCATAGGAACCAAAAACCATTTGTTTGAAATATTGTAAAACAAGTCATTTAAAATTTTTTAAAAAACCAAAAAAAAACAGGTGGATCAAAAACAAAGCTCTGTAAAGCCACAACATGGATGGTGCACTTTTACCTCAAAGTAGAATTAATTTACCCACAACATAATTCTATGCTGTATCTGTAGAACCTTAACCAAACCACAGTATCAGGTATAAAATTGAAGCTTTTTTGACCATACTATCCAGTAAAGTCCCTAGAGCCAATCCATCACATTTACGACAGTTAGTTGAACAATGAAATAAACGACAATCCATAAATGTTTTCCTATCATATAGTAGTCTTTTCAAGGGTAGGGGGTATTGTCTTTCATTAGTTATGGCTTTAATTTTGTCAAAATAGAAAATTATTAAATAGGGCACGATTTCATATCCAGTTTTGATTGGGTACTGACATTCATAATGAAAAGATATCTGGAAAGTCATTTTTGCCAGTTTACAAAAAACAGCATAAACATACAGTACATGTCACATACATACTCAAGGGCGGATCCAGAAATGTCCAAAAGGGGGGGCCGGAAGGGGGGACCGAAAGTTGGGCCGATTGAGACAACACTGTCGTAGGGGGTCCGGGGCATGGCCCCGCGAAATTTTTGTGTTCTAGACGCCCGAACATAACATTTGAGGCATTCTGGGCTATCATTTTTTTTCTTTTTCTCTCTTTTTTTCTTCTTTTTTTCTTTTTTTTTACCCGGCCCCCCCCCTAAATCCGCCCCTGATACCGTACATACATATACACATGATGGGTATCCGAAAGGTTTCTTTGCTTGAAAGCATAGGAACCAAAAACCATTTGTTTGAAATATTGTAAAACAAGTCATTTAAAATTTAAAAAAAAAACAAAAAAAAAACAGGTGGATCAAATTTAACAAAGCTCTGTAAAGCCACAACATGCATGGTGCACTTTTACCTCAAAGTAGAATTAATTTACTAATTCACATGAATTTGAATGTTATTGTTAGTTAATTATCAAATCATTATATTTAACAATTACTCCATAAATAGTCATATTTGGATTAGTTTGTCCCGGAGAATTCTAGTCACTACGAGTGAATTCCAGTCCAAACGGATGTCAGTTCGACTAATTGCAACTTGGTCAGATTTGTCTAGTACACGACTAATGTTTTTCACCCTATTTTCAAATGGATTTGGCCAAAGTTAGATAAAATCATATGTGAACAGTAGCATATCTAGCAGGGACCACCCCACCCCATAAAAAAACTCAAACCTCCGCACCCCCCACCCCCAGTTGCTCTCCCATTGAAAATGTTTTAAACAAATAAAATA